ATTTAAATGTTATGTTGAAACAGAAATATTATTTTAACAAAAGTAAATTTGAAACTGGGAAAAAAAAGATTTGAAATCTAAAAAAATAGAATTTATTCTAGTTTTTCTTAGATTCAAAAATATTTACTTTGAACAAACTTTATGACTATATAGTTTAGCTCCACATTGTGAAATGTAAAATTTAAACAGCAGCTTTTATTTGCTTCAACACATCAGTTAGCTGTTAGAGGCCTTTAGTTGACCAGCATCTGGCTTCTATAACCTCCTCCTTTATTTTGAATGTCTTTGAAAGTCATTCAAAATARTTGCGTGTGTTTGTGAGGTTTAGCTGTTCATCGGCTGAAATGCGCCTCGTCTAACCTGCTTGCTTCCCTAACCCCGTCTCTCCCGCCCAGAGCCAGACTCCGCGCTTCCCCAGCCTCTGCCGCTGCCCCACCGCCCCGGAGGCAACAAGCCAGATGTGCCTGAAACTGACTTGAACAACAGAATCCACTTAGCGGGCCCCAACCAGGACGGGGTCGGTGGTCAGAGCCAACATGTGGAGTACACRGAGTACAACAATGGAGGCAACCCGCAAAGTCCTAATGAGCAAGTCCGTGAGCCCCTGGTCTTTGTCCCCATTCCTGATGCAGAGGGCCGCAGACGCCCCGTCCTGAAGCTTCGACTGCCCGTCGGATCATCAGTTTTTAACGAGACCGGAGTTCCTCTGGAGGCCCAGACTCAAACCAGCATCTCCTGGAAGCCTTACAGTCAGAGCAGCGCCTACGAGCTTTCCTGTTACCCGCTCACACACGGCAACGAGAAGATGTTCCAGGTAACGTCCAGAGATCTCAGACACATTGAAGAGCTGCCTGAACCCCAAAACTCACTTCATGTTGAATCATTTCCTCATGTAGGTCCGCCTGCCGGGTACGACCACAACCGCCACCCTGATCGGACTCACCCCCGGAGCAGACTATAACGTGATTGTAGAGGCACTACTGGGAGCACTCAAACACAAGATTCTGGAGCAGGTCGTCACAGCTGGAAACACGAGTAAGTATCGTACGGAAACACATAAAAAAGTCTTGTACGCTGAAACACAAGTAACCATTGAACAAAAACACGTAAATGTCTTATACCCAGAAACACGAGAAAATATCGTACAAAAACGCAAAAAAGGTCTGGTACGCAGAAACACGAGAAAATATCGTACAAATATGCAAAAAAGGTCTTGTACGCAGAACCACGAGTAAATATTGTACAAAAACGCAAAAAAGTCTTGTACATAGAAACACAAGTAACCATTGAACAAAAACACGTAAAAGTCTTATACCCAAAAACACGAGTAAATATCGTACAAAAACGCAAAAAAGATCTTGTACGCAGAAACACAAGTAACCATCGAACAAAAACACATAAATGTCTTATACCCAGAAACACGAGAAAATATCGTGCAAAAAAGGTCTTGTATGCAGAAACACGAGTAAATATTGTACAAAAACGCAAAAAAGTCTTGTACATAGAAACACAAGTAAGCATRGTACAAAAACGCAAAAATGTCTGGTACGCAGAAACACGASTAAAATATTGTACAAAAATGCAAAAAAGGTCTTGTACATAGAAACACGAGTAAATATCGTACAAAAATGCAAAAAAGGTCCTGTACGCAGAAACACGAGTAAGTATCGTACAAAAACGCAAAAAACTCTTGTACATAGAAACGCGAGTAAATATCGTACAGAAATGCAAAAAAGTCTTGTATGCAGAAACACGAGTA